GGGGGGGGGGGGGGGGGGGGGGGGGGGGGGGGGGTGTGTGTGAAATGAGGGGGGGTCGTGACCCTGCTGCCACCCCGGAGGGGGCACCTGGGGACGAGGAGGGCCGGATCCTGCTCTGCCAGGCTCCTCCCCGGCTCTGGCGCTGCCCATAAAAGCCGATGGCGAGGAATTACGCAGCCCGGAAAAATGCGGCCGGGGCTGGCAGCGCCCGGCCAGGGGGGCTTGGGGGGGCAACAGCGCCGGGGGCCCCCCCTGAAGCGGCACTGGGCGGAGCGGGGGGTCAGGATGCTCTTTAATGAGGGACTTAATGAGGAATTGGGGTTTCAATTAAAAAAAAGGCTTAGGGAGTCAGGGGAGGGCAGAGCTCCCCTGTCCCCCCCGTGTTCCCCCCGTCCCAGATTAATCCGCTGCCTCGCCCGGGGACCGATCCCGCACCCGGCTTTAATCCCGCCTGAGCTCCGGCCCGGGGGGGGTCCCTGCACCCCCCTCCTGACACCCCAAATTGCCACCGTGAGCAGCCGGGATGGCCCCATGTCCGTCCCTGGGGACAGCAGCCCCGAGGTGCTGGCAGGAGGAGAAGTCCTGGGGTGGGGAGCACTCACGGGCAGGAGGTGGCAGGGCACAGGGGACACCCGAGTGTCCCCACTGAGATCCTGTGAGCCACCAAAATAACCCCTCCTGTAGGCAGGAGGCTCCACGGGAGCCTGGGAGGGGGTGGGTGGGTGGAGAGGAGCTCCCGTAGCCATGGAGAGCTGGGATGGGTGGGTGGAGCACATCCTATGGAGCACGGGGGTGGAGAGAAAGATCTCCCAGGGGTCACGGACACACGTGGGACCTCTCCTGGACCACAGGGTGTCCTGTTGGATGGGCAGAAAGGACTTCCTGGGGGTCACGGGGACAGGTGGGACCACAGAATGACCCGCTGGGTGGACAGGTGGGAGCTCCCACGGATCATGGAGCACCTCACGGGGCACGCAGGCAGGAGCTCCCAGGGGCCACAGGGACAGGGAGAAGTCCTGGGGGAGACGGGACCCCCATGGACCCCGCTGGGTGCACAGAGAGGTTCTCCCACAGACCACAGGCAGGTGAGACCTGCCAGTGACCACCGGGTGGACAGAGAGGACCTCCCAGGAGCCAGCGGGCAGCCTGCAGGGTGGACACAGAGGAGCTCCCACGAAGCACAGAGCTCCCGGTTGGGTGGATGGACAGCACCTCCCACAGACCCACAGACCCACCGCTGGGTGGCCGGCGAGGCCCTCACCCAGGCACAGGGCTCCCAGGGGAGCGCGTGTCTCACCAGCTCGTCCAGGTTCTTGAGGTCGCACAGGGTGATGGGCCGGGCCCGGCTGGGGTAGGCGCCCGCCTGGGGGTCCCGGCTCTCCCGGCGCGTGCCCAGCGCGCCGTCGGCCGTTTGGTCCCTCATCTCCTCCTCGATCTCCTCCTCCATTTGGATCAGCATGGGGGCCAGCATCCCAAACTTGGAGCCCCTCCTGGCCACCTCCAGCAGGCAGAGGACAAAGTTCTTCTCGTTCTTCTTCAACACCAAGTCGTTGGTCTCGAACATGAGCACGTCCTGGATGCCCAGGTCCTGCCGGCACCACTGGATGAAGTTGGAGACGTTATCCCTGGCGATGAAGGAGCCGGGCACCACGTTCTTGGCCTGGAAGACCACCTCGTTCTGGGGCACTCGCATGCGGGCGGCCGCCTCCGGGTGCCGCTCCTGGAAGTCCAGGGCGGTGCGGTTGACGTTGTTGGCGTGGCGGCAGAGGTGACATCCCGTCTCCAGGCTCTCCAGGAAGGTGTCCACCTGGATGTCCAGGTCGTAGAGGGTGTTGAACCACTCAGCCAGGTCCTCCTTCATGGCCTCCAGGTACTCCTCGCTGGAGCGGAAGGGGCGGATGCTCTTGGAGGCGGCCGACTGGATGTGGCTGGGGTCGGCCATGGCCCCCCTTCCTGCGGGGGGACAACGGGGCCTGTCACGGGCAGGAACCCCCCCAAAGCCCCCCCAAATCACCAATAACCTCGGTGACCCCTCTGTGCCTCAGTTTCCCCCACACGTTACCCGTGGGTGGGAACATCACCACTGCCACCACCACCCCTCCAGGACCTGCAGCACACCCCATCCCATGTCCCGGGTGTCCCCCCCTCTCACAGCCCATGTCCCCCCACCTCATGTCCCTCCACCCCGGGTGTCCCCCCATTCTCCATGTCCCCCACTCCATGTCCCCTCATCCTGCGTCCCATCCCCCAGGTTAACGAGTCCCTTGTCACCCGTGCCCACCCCACGGAGGGGCTGTGGCCGAGGGGGGACATCCCACCCCAACCCCGCCCTAAAAGCTGCCCAGTCATGGTGGGTGTCCTCAGCCTGGTGTCCCCACCCTGGGAGCAGGTGACACCCCGAGGGATGGCAGTGCCAGGGGCAGGGAGCCCCCCTTTATCCTGGTGGGGTTCAACCCTGAGGGGCTGCACCGGGCAGAGGGATTGCTCCCCAAAACTCAGCCATGGGGTGTGGGCTGCACCTGGAGGAGGCCCCCCGGCCGTCCCTGACCTGGGGCTACAGGAGCCAGCGAGGGGTCACCCCCGGCCGGGGGGGCCCAGTGACCCCCAGGGCCACCCCCCAGCCCAGCCCCAATCCCTGGAGGGGGGTCCTGGCCCTGGGGTGCTGCTGAGGGGGCGTCCCCTCCCCTCCGAGGGGGTGTCCCTGTTGGGGAGGGTCCCCTCTCCTCGGGGCGGGGGGGGATCCTCGGGGATGAGGGGACTCTGTTGGGGGGTGGTCCCCATCCCTCGAGAGTGGGGGGATCCTCTCGGGGGGCTCCGTTTCCCTCGGGGAGGGGTTTTGTTCTCCCGGGGATGGGGGGGGGGGCCCCTGTTTGGGGGGTCCATTTCCCTCGGGGGGTTTGTCTCTGCTGGGGGGGGGTCCCTACCCTCGGAGGGGGTGTCCGTGCTGAGGGGTGTCCGTATCGGGGGTCCCCCTTTCCCTTGGGGGGAGGGTGTCCATCTCTGGGGGTGTCTCTTTCTCGGGGTGGGGGGGGTCCCTTTCGGCAGCGGGGTCCCTATTCCGGGGCGATCCACGGGGGGCGGCGGGAGGGGATCGGCACCTGTGGGGACACGGGGTGGGGACACGGGGCCCAGGGCCACCCTCCCGCCCCCCCGGCCTCACTCACCGCCGCCGCTCCGCGCTCCGCTACGGCCGGGCCGGGCCCGCTCCCCGCTCCGGGCCGGGCCGCGGCTCCCAGCGCCGGGGGGGCCCCGCCGCGGCCCCCGCCGCCATCGGCCGCCGGCAGCGGCCCGGGGGGCGGCCGGGGGGGCCCGGGGGGCTCCCAACGAGGCTCGGCCGCCGCAGCCCCGCGGAGCCGCCGCCGCCGCCGCCGCGCCCCGGCCGGGAAGTTGGAGGCGGCCCAGAAAGGGCCGGGACGGGGGCGGCGGCGGCGGCGGGCGGGGACGGGCACGGGGGGGACACGGACACGGACACGGGGGGGGACAGGGGCACGGCACGGAGAGGGGGGGACACGGACACGGGCAGGGACAGGGGGAGGAGCACAGACACGGGAGGGGGCACGGACAGGGGGGCACGGCCGGGGGTGGGAACAGGGGCACGGGGGAGGCACGGGGGTGACACACAGCGACACTCGGTGACATCCCCCCCACCCCCGCCCGGGTGTGGCTCCCCGCTTCCATTGATCTGCCCCTCCCCCACCCTCCCTCCCTTCCCCGGGACTCACACCCCGCGGGGAAACTGAGGCACAGCGGGATCCACGGGGCAGCTCCGTCCCACCCCTCCATCCCATCCTACCCCGGCCCGGGCCCGGGGGCCGCGTCCCCCCGGCTCCCAGGGATGTTCTCGAGAAAGGCCAGCAATGGTGCGGTTACAAACAGCGGGAATTTTATTTAAAAAAACAACCGTCACAACCGTTCACAGCGTTACAGGCGGGGTGGGGGGCGGGGGCGCGTTAAACAAC